ATGGAGTTTCACTCTTGTTGCCCAGGCTGGAGTGCAGTGGCGCGATCTCAGCTTACCGTAACCTCCACCTCCTAGGTTCAAGTGATTCTCCTGCCACAGCCTCCTGAGTAGCTGGGATTACAGGCATGTGCCACCACAGCTGGCTAATTCTTTTGTATTTTTAGTAGAGATGGGGTTTCACCATGTTGGTCAGACTGGTCTCGAACTTCTGACGTTGTGATCCGCCTGCCTCAGCCTCCCCAAAGTGCTGGGATTATAGGCATGAGCCACCGTGCCTGGCAATTTTTGTATTTTTAGTAGAGATGGGGTTTTGCCATCTTGGCCAGTCTGGTCTTGAACTCCTGACCTCATGTGATCCACCTGCCTCGGCCTCCCAAAGTGCTGGGATTACAGGCGTGAGCCATCGTGCCCAGCCCAATTATCTAACACTGTCTTTTTCTTCTTTTCTTTTTTTTTGAGATGGAATTTTGCTCTTGTTGCCCAGGCTGAAGTTCAATGGCATGATCTCAGCTCACCGCAACCTCCACCTCCCAGGTTCAAGGGATTCTCCTACTTCAGCCTTCCGAGTAGCTGGGGTTACAGGCATGCGCCACCATACCCGGCTAATTTTTTGTGTTTTTAGTAGAGACAGGGTTTCTCCATGTTCATCAGGCTGGTCTCGAACTCCCAACAGGTAGTCCACCTGCCTTCGCCTCCCAAAGTGCTGGGATTAAAGGCGTGAGCCACTGCACCTGACCTTATCTAACACTTTCTAATGGAATACCTAACAGTCATTTGAGCATTGTGATCTCCGTTTTACAAGTGAATAAATATCTTGAGGGCTGTGCAGGGGAAGAGGTCTCCCAAGATAGCATAGAGAGGAATTGATGTTATCAGAATTCAAACCAGACTTCTGGGACTCTCCAGTGGGGCTCGTGACTTCATAGCATACTGTCCCTCATAGATAACTAAAAGCATAGATAACTAGAAAGCAAGGTGGAATGAGGTAGTTACTAGGAGAAAAGAACATTTCCCAGAGTTCCAACTAGGAGAAATGGGAAGGAGCAGGGCGCTGTCTAAGAGTGTCTTAGTCTGTTTTCACGCTGCTGATAAAAACATACCTGAAACTGGGTAATTTATAAAGAAAAAGAGGTTAAGTGGACTCATAGTTCCACGTGGCTGGGTATGGTGGGAGGTGAAAGGCACATCTTACATGGTGACAGACGAGAGGAAATGAGAGCCAAGCGAAAGGGGTCTCCTGCAAACAGGAGAAACCTGTTTGGTTTGATAAATAAGCATACACAAGAAATTACCTCTGCTCGTCCATACACTGAGCTAGTCTTTGGGGTTCAAAGATGCACTTCTCAAGGAGTTCACAGGCCAGCAAAGCTGTAGCCCATCAGATTTCTGGGATTCCATTCTTGGGGCTTGTAGGATTGTAGGGCCATAAGCTCATTTTGACTGTTTTCTGTGCATCTGGCTCTATGTCTCAGTGCTGCCTAATGTCCCATTATTGCTTGTCTGTTTCTGTTGCCTAGGGGAGCTGTATTTCCTGGCGACCTCTTACCCAAGTGCCTATGCGCCACATGGATCTATTTACAAATTTGTTGACCCCTCAAGGTGAGATTTGATGTCATTTTCTTCTCAAATGCATTTTTTCTCATTTCTTTTTTTCTTTCTTTTTTTTTTTTTTTTGAGACAGTCTCTCACTCTGTAGGCCAGGCTGCAGTGCAGTGGTGTGATCTTGGCTCACTGCAACCTCCACCTCCCGAGTTCAAGCAATTCCCCTGCCTCAGCCTCCTGAGTAGCTGGGACTACAGGTGCCTGCCACTACTCCTGGCTAATTTTTGTATTATTATTATTTTTTTTAGTAGAGATGGGGTTTCGATATGTTGGCCAGACTGGTCTCGAACTCTTGATCTTGTGATCCACCTGCCTCAACCTCCCAAAGTTCTGGGATTACAGGCATGAACCACCATGTCCGGCCATTTTTTTTTCTTATTTCTTAACTCAATGGCAGGCCATAAAAACAGTCCTCACTGTCCCTCAAATTACCAGAAATTATCAATGAAGCAAACCCACGTTCTAGGCAAAAAGCAGTTTGAACAAATAATGGTGTAGGACAATGTGTCTATAGAAATTATGAAATATTTGGGAAATTGTCTCTTTGCAGTTGGACTTGAAGATCTTGAGCCTTTCTAGGGTTGGTTTAGGTCTGTGGCTTTTTTTGTTTTGTTTTTTTTGAGATGGAGTTTCGCTCTTGTTGCTCAGGTTGGAGTGCAATGGCATGATCTTGGCTCACCACAACCTCGGCCTACTAGGTTCAAGCGATTCTCCTGCCTCAGCCTCCCGAGTAGCTGGGATTACAGGCATGCACCACCATGCCCATCTAATTTTGTGTTTTTAGTAGAGACAGGGTTTCCCCATGTTGGTCAGGCTGGTCTTGAACTCCTGAACTCATGTGATCCGCCCGCCTCAGCCTTCCAAAGTGCTGGGATTACAGGTGCGAGCCACCGTGCCTGGCTCTTTTTTTTTTTTTTTTTTTCTGGAAAAAATATGCTTCTGGAAGTGAGGTCATCTAACACTATGTGTATACCTCTGACCACCTGAGTAAGTACTGCTCCCCTGTCCCCTGGGCTTGGTGCAGATCTCTAGGTCTTTGGCAAATATGTTTAACTGGCAGGTTCCTCAGTAGCTCTACCTGATCTTTTCTGGAGTTTCATGTTTATTCACTTGCTGGGATCTATGCTGTTTCCTTCTGCTTCCTTGCGCATCTCTCTCAGAGGCTGACCAGCCTCCACCAGCGTGGGCAAAAGCTGCAACGTCACTTCCCATTTGAGAGGTTGTTGAATCTGGGTCAGGCTGCCTGCCCCAGGGAGGGTGATGCGTTGTATCCATCCTGAGGAGTCTTGGCAGTGCACTAGATTTTTTTTTTTTTTTTTTTTTAAGACAGAGTTTCGCTGTCTTCCAGGCTGGACTGCAGTGGCGCAATCTTGCCTCACTGCAACCTCTGCCTCCCGGGTTCAAGCTATTCTTGTGCCTCAGCCCCCCAAATCACTGGGATTACAGGCATGCAGCACTACACCTAGCTAATTTTTGTATTTTTAGTAGAGACGGGGTTTTGCCATGTTACCCAGGATGGTCTCAAACTCCTAGGCTCAAGCAATCCACCTGCCTTGACCCCCCAAAGTGCTGAGATTACAGGCATGAGCCACCGTGCGCCCTGCCCCAGTGCTCTAGATTTATCTAAAAATTCTTGCCAAAACAAGAAAATCTCTACATGAATTAGCTCACCGATGGACCTGTAGAGGAAAACTTCCCCCTGAGGCTTATGTTACCCATGTCTGCATTGGCATTCAGTAGACATGAGGCATTTATAGGTCCAGCCACTGGTTAGCGCTCAGGGGCCAGCTCTAGCTCAGCTTTCATTTGGCCGCAGGGTTCTCGGTTTGTATGTTCTCAGAAGTTCTTAGAAGATGCTCAGTCCTTGAGGCTGTGCCCAGGGTGCTTTGCGGATGGTAGAGCATGGATAGCCAAGGGGTGAATTTAATACTTGGCTGTTTCCACTGTTGGGTCTGCTTTTGTGCACATGTCCCGGGCTTAGGTGATGAAGCAGACTAGCATCTTTAAAGTGTTTCTGATGTGGACGATGCCTTGGTGGGGAGTTCTCTTTCCACTAATAGGCTTCCTGTGGGAATCCATTTTTCTTTCCTTTGGCAGTTTTCTGATTTAGTTGGAAGATGATTTAACTCCCCACTTTCACAAGAGCAGCTGCGAGAAGCCACACAGAAAGCACCCATAAAGCATTTTCACACTGAAGACAACCTTACTTGTTCACCTTTTTTTTTTTAAGTTGACATTTATGGAGTTTTTCCTGTGTGCCAGGCACTGTGCTAAGTGCCATGCATGCGGGCTTGCATTTAATGCTGACAGAATTCCAACCAGGCAGGTTAACTTCCTCACTCTATGGAGAAAGAAACTGAAGGCTAGGTAAGTTAAATTACTTTCCCCAGGTACAGCTAGTAAGAGGAGCCTGGAATAGGAACTCAGTTCTCTTCGTGGACTGGTCATTTCAGCACTATCCCCTCTGTTCCGTTATAACTACATTGAATCACATAGACTTTTTAAAGCTTCTGTAAGTGGACCAGATTCTGCTCTGATTACTTATTCAGCCTGTCTTTGCACTAAATGTACCAATCCCAGCATTCTGAGGACACCTGATTAATTATGTATCCTTTTCCCCCTCCCGTCTTTTCCTCCTACCCTTCCTTTAGTGGTGACTAAATCCAATGGTTGAGAACATGGACTTGCGCCTGGGCTTGGAATCTTGGCTTCGTCACTGACTGTGTGGCCTTGGGCCTGTTTCTTAGCCTGTGTGAGCCTCAGTTTCCCCTCTGTAAAATGAGGATAACAATAGTACTTACTTCACAGGGTTGTTAGGAAGACTCAGTGAGTTAATATTTGCAAAGTATTTAGAATGGTGCCTGGGCACTACATAAGTGTTTGTTAAATAAATACAATTACCTTTTTTTTCCCCCCTGGACTTGGGAGGATGGTGGTGAGAGAGAGTTGGAGCAAGGCAGAGAAGGCAACGGGGACTGGCTGGGAGGTTCCAGCCCTGCTCTCTACAGTGGAAGTACTCTCTGTCCTCAAAGTCCCTTTTATTTCAGAAGATGCATCCAGGGGACAAGCAGCATAAGAATGTGTGTGTTATTAGGCAGAGAAGCTGGCATTGCCTAAGGGCTGTGCCTTGAGTTTCTGAAGACATTTTCTTTAAAGGAAATCACCAGCGTCACTGTCAGAAGCAGCAGCGGAATCATCCTCATCATCCCCATCTGCTGAGCTCTTGTTATGTGCTGGGCACTGTTCCAAGTGTTTTTTTTTTTTTAAACTCTCATTCTTTATCAGTCACTTACAGAGTGTCAGGTACACAGCTGTCATTTAACCTTCACATCTCCCTGCAAGATGGGTACTATTAGTTTTTGCATTTTATAGATGTGGAGACTGAGAATTAGTAAGGTTTTTTTGCCCCTGGTTACCAGGACGTGACCCGTTTTGACTGCCGCCATATCCATACTCCTAACTCCCTATCTGCACTGTCTCTCAAAGGCCTGAGGTGCCCTGTGACGTCTGTGCCCTTTTACCTCTCCTTTTGAACTCATAGCATATTTCCTATTACATCTACCCCATCCTCATGGATAAGTAAAATTTGACCCCAATTCTTGCAAATATACATCTTCTGGTGACCTTGATTTTCTGGTTGCATCTGCAGAGTCTTGCATCCTCACGCTTTCTGTGTTTTTAGGCGAGCACCCCCAGGCAAGTGCAAATACAAGCCAGTGCCGGTGACAACCAAGAGTAAGCGGATCCCATTCAGACCACTCGCCAGTAAGTCCATCTTTGAGTCTTAGGGTCAGGCCTTGGGCGGAGGCCAAGGCAGTGCCCTCAGCAAGCAAGCTCTAATTCCCACGGTGGAGTCTTAGTTTCCCCTGAGGGGTGGTCTTTTAAATGAGGACTGTTACTTTTGGCCCAGTCTATACATCTCTTCTGCATAACAGAGGAATCATGAGTGTGAGGATACCTGTTTCTACTGTGACCAGTTTCCTCTAGTCATTCATTCATTCATTTGTTGATTCATTCATTTAATCGTTCATGTAGTCATTCATTTGGCATCATTCATTTCATACTTACTTTGTGGCAGGAACTATGCTAATCCCTAGGGATACAGCAATGAACACTTAAAGTCTCATATGTAAGAATTCGGAGTTAGATAGGAGTGGGGATGGGAAGTGCAGGCAAATAAAGAAATGTAGCACTAAGGTTCTGGTATAGAAGGATGTTCAGGGAACTGAGAGGACACCTAAAATGAGGAATGTTTCCTTGGGGTAGGGTGGGGAGTCAGGGAAGACTTATAGAGGAAGGATACTATCTTTTTTTTTTTAAATTTTTTTCTTTCTTTTTAATTTGTGCACTTTTATTCAAGGAAGGATACTATCTTAAGGAAACTATTACAGAGCCATGTATCACTGGAGTGACCCTTTTAAAAAAAAGTGATAGATTTAGATCAAGGGCAGTTAGGGAATTAAAAAGTATTAATAAAAAGAATTTATATTAAAGAACTCTATTGCAGTTTTAGGTTTGCTGACTGGTGCTCTCTTATAGCTACTTTCCAGGACTTATATTTTTCACTAAATAAATGCTTTTAGGGAATTAAAAAGTATTAATAAAAAGAATTTATATTAAAGAACTCTGTTGCAGTTTTAGGTTTGCTGACTGGTGCTTCTCTTATAGCTACTTTCCAGGACTTATATTTTTCACTAAATAAATGCTTATTTCTCAGAGACAGTTTTGGATTTGCTAAAGGAGCAATCAGAGAAAGCTGCTAGAAAATCTTCCAGTGCAGCCTTAGTTTCCAGCTCATCCCAGGGTTTGTCTGAGAAAGGCTCTTCTAAGAAGCTGGCTTCTCGGGCAAGCGGCAAGGAAACATTTCGAGGGCTGGGTACAAAGAAGAAAGCCAGAGTGGGCCCCCAGGGCAAGAGGAGGAAGAGCCTGAAAAGCCACGGTGGCAGGATGAGGCCATCAGCAGAGCAGAGGCGAGCTGGCAGAAGTCTTCCTTGACCTGTTGGTTAAGGTGGCCAACAGGGTGACTTGAGAGAGGAGAGCCACCTCATCAAATGAAAGTCACTGCTGAGGAAACACCTTAGAAGTCTGGAAAGCCAGGGTGGAGGTGGGGCAGGGTGGTTTTCCTGTCCTTGGGAAATCTTGCTGTCTACTGAGTGAACACATGCACCTTCTCTGTATGCAGTGCTTCTATAGGAGACCGTATCCCAGATCGCCGGTGGGCCTGGGTTATTGTGTGTACTAGTCCATAAGCCTGCTTGGAATCACACTGGATATCTCCATTTTGTCTTATGAATGCCTGAAATCTGAGATAATAAATCAACATTTGCTCAAACTGACACATATCCTTTGATATCCTGGATGTTTGTTTGACATTAGGAGATCTAGCATGGTATACCACACTTGCATAAGAACCATATTTCACCCTCCTGCCTCATCCCAGTTCTAAGAGGAAGCCTGTGACAAGCTTTCAAGGAAAGACTGTTTAACTGTTATCTCCTTTCCCCAACCCAAAGCTCATGAAGTGAACAAGAGCAAGTTCAGCTCTATGCCTCCAGCACTTACTATCGTAATTGCCTGACAGGTTCTTCCTGTATAGTGCACAGACAAAACCAATTCACTGAGACCACAGTATTGCAGTAGAGATAGAGTTTAATAACACAAAGCCTGCCAAGTAGAAGGACTGGAGTTACTACTCAAATCAGTCTCAGAGAACTCAGAGGCTGGATGTTATGGATAGTTTGGTGGGGGAGGGGCTAGGGAATGTGTGCTGCTGATTGGTTGAAGATGAAATCATAGGGGTGTGAGGAACAGTCCTTGTGTGCTGAGTCTGCCTCTGAATCGGGGCCACAGGACCTCTTGAGTCATGAATCACAAATCCGGATGGGTTAGTTGGTTGCCAGAATGCAACCATCTGAAAAACATCTCAAAAGACAAATCTTAGGTGCTACAATAGTGATGTTATCTATAGGAGCAACTGGAGAAGTCACAAATCTTGTGACCTCTGACCACGTGACTCCTGAGCAGTAAGGGATTATAGAAACTCTGCTTACATTTTAGCAGAATTCAGATCCCTCCCATAATCTAGTGGCCTTTCAACAGTTTTACAAAGGCAGCTTCAGTCCCTGAGCAAGGAGGGAGTTAATTTTAGGGAGGGACTATTATCATTCTTACTTCAAAGTTAAACTGTAAACTAAATTCCTTCCATGGTTAGCCTGGCATATGTCAGGAATGAGTGAGGACAGCCAGCCCGTGAGGCCAGGAGCAAGAGGGAGTCTGCCATGCCAGGTTTCTCTCACCGTCATCATCTTTGCAAAGGAAGTTTCACTGTTTGGCCTTATTGTGCACATAGCATAATAAACTTAACTACATTTTATTTGAATACCTACTATGTGCCAAGGTTATACCTTATCTTGAAACCTCAAAGCCCTGCTCTCTCTGTTGCCATATAACCTCCACCGAAGATGAGAAAAGTGAAGCTTTGTGAGGTTAAGTGACTGGATGGCAGTGGAGTGAGGGAACAGGGAACAGTTCAGCCAGACTAGAACCGACGCCCCCTTGCAATCTGCTGTGCACCTGCCTTCATTGGAGGCCCTCAGTGAAGGATTGTGACTTTTGAACTAAGTATGTGAGGAATGAAGAACTAAGAGAGGAAATGGTCCCTGTTTTCATGAAGTTCTTCATATTATGCAAAACATCCAGAAGAGTGTAGGGAATTTGGTTTAAGGAGAACAAAAGCATAAAATACCAGGGTTATTAACTTTCAAAGTCATATGATCACTGTTTTAGATGGGGCTGGACATACTCTGGATAGATATATTTTTTAAAAGATTTCCATAGAAGCAGGTTCTATCTTTTTACTTTAGGTATCCTTACCTAACAGGAATCCATCAAACCTCCCTCTTTCTCTTGTTCTGTCTTTATTGAAGATGCTAAACACTAGTCATTGTTTTCTGCAGATCATTTTTTGGATCATCTTTAAGTCTTCTTCCTTCATCTTTCTCATATAGTTTTTCCCTTGCCTACCTTTGTAGCTCTTATGAATACTCTCTAGGATTGAAATAAACTTCAGATGCTAACCAACTTGATATTTCACACTTTTAGCTTCTTTTCAGATGAAGACAGTAACATAAAGATGGAGGGGATTAACTCAGAGTTACTTGTTCAAAGAGCTGAAAACCCCAGGCCAGTTCGAGGAGACTGGATCTAACCTCTGGAGTAAACGTTTGAGCCCACTTTGCCTTCTTTGCTCATATGGTCTTTCTTCAAACACATGTGGCAAGAATATAATCTGGACTGAAAGTGAGCTGGGGAAAGTGCTCAGAATTCATGTGTCAACATAAAGGGCTGCACACACCAAGTTCAAGGCATTTGGAACACTGTTTTGCATTGGAGGGTGGCGGGTGGGTCTAGAGCAGGAAACTGGGATCTCTGAAATGCCGGAAAGGTGGGGAAGAGACAGAGTTTTTCTGTAGCAAGTGGCTTTATTTTCTAAAAAGATGCCTGGTGATGCCAGTGAGCCTTCCTGGATGAGTCTGGGACTCTTAGAAAACAATCTCTAGGGCATAGAAAAGCCAAAATGTATTCCTCTTCCTTACAGCCTAAGGTTTTGAAAAGTTCGGAAAGTTGAAAAATACTCACATGCAGGTACTTGCTCTTTCTAGAGATCAGCTGGTGTCGGCGAAGGGGGAGGAATGATGACAACTGGCAATGACTGGAGGGAGGTGGGATTAGAGCGCTTCCAAAACTTCTCTTTCTTACTACTTTGTTACTTGATGACTGAGTAACTCAGAGTAAGTAGTCCTGGTACTGAGTTATTCAAGGATCTCAAATGGCTTTGCCAAGAGGCATTCAGCATGTTAGTAAAGGGCACTGTGAGCACTTCACCTCCACAGCATTCCTAGCAGCAGATATCCTGACCACAGACAGCCAAACTAACAAAGTGTGAGGGTGTTGAGTGTGTTTTCCTAGATCTGAAATATTGCAAGCCAGACCAGAAAGTTTTACAGTTGCGTCACTCCCAAAGCGAACTCAGTTTAAGAAACACGTTCCCCGGTAGTGGCTCACACCTGTAATCCCAGCACTTTGGGAGGCCATAGAGGGCAGATAACTTGAAGCCAGGAGTTCAAGACCAGTCTGGCCAACATGATGAAATCCCATGACTACTAAAAATACAAAAAATTAGCTGAGCGTGGTGGTGGGCGTCTGTAATCCCAGCCACTCAGGAGGCTGAGGCAGGAGAGTCGCTTGAACCTGGGAGGCGGAGGTTTCAGTGAACCGAGACAGCACCACTGCACCCCACCCTGGGTGACAGAGGGAGCCTCCCTTTAAAAAAAAAAAAATTAAAAAAAGGAAATACATTCCCTTGCTTTGTAGAACTTGTTCTGAAAAGATTTAATTTTCTCTAAACAAAGGCTGAGCTTACTGCTTGTCAGGCATTGTATTGGCTCTGGGGAAATCCAGAGATGAAAGAGACTTTCTCTGACTATTACAGTTTAGTTAGTGTGAGCCAGGTTAAGAATTAAAGGCAAGGTCAGAGGACTCTGGCTCCCTAACCTGCACCATCTGACAGAAGGATACTGAGAGCTGCAGATGGGAGCCACAAATGTGATCTAAAATTTTCTAGTAGCCACATTAAAAAACAGATACAGTTAATTGTAATTATACTATATTTTATATAATCCAATATATCCAAAATATTACTTCAACATGTAAAATTAAAAAATTACTAGCGAGATGGCTTGCATCCTGTTTTGGTTCCAAGTCTTTAAAATCTCGTGCGTATTTTACTCTTTCAGGTCATCTCCATTTGGACTAGCCACATTTCAGGCACCCAGCGGTCACATGAGGCTTGTGGTTTCCTTACACACAGTCCTTTATCAAGCTCTGGCCCTCAGATCTGGGAAAAGAAATCCTGGGTTGGAAAAATTCATGTGTTCAGAAAAAAGGCTTTTGGCACTTTCTCTGGTGACTCTGTGGTCACGCGGCATTGAGGAATTCAGGGAAGAAGCTGAGAGTCAGAAAGGCTGCAAACACTGGATCCCCAAGCAGCCCGGGGCTATTTATTTTTGGGAGTCGCCTCGGAAGGGGCAGGACGTTGGAGCCAGGCCGGGCTGTGGGGCCTGGGCTGCCACGTGTCAGCCACAGAGCCGGCTTGCGTCTGGGCCACGCTGGCCCCGCTCTCGGCCCCGGCTGGGCGTGGAGAAGCGCAGCCGCCGGCCTCCGGGGACGCGATGGGGAGCGGTGCCACAGCGCCGCCCGCCGGCTGCGTGCCGTAACTGCAGGCGCAGCGCTGCCTCGGCCCACTCTGCTCTCCAGCTGCCCAGTTCACGGCCAGGGCCGCCGCCTCCACTTCGTTTTAATTCAGGGGATGGTGCTTGTGTGCAGGGCGTTGCATACAAGCCCGTGGAGTCTCAAGCCTCCATTTGCGGTGCTCCGGCCTGCAGGTCCGGGTAATACTGGGGCTGCCGGGCCAGTTTCCCCTCCTCCTGCTCTTGCCTTATTCCCGTTGGGTGAGTGCGGGGGGCGGGCGGCGGGGTGTGTGTGTGTGTGTGTGTGTGTGTGTGTGTCCAGGGTTTTCTCTTCCGGGTCACTTCTAAAGCACATTAAGGATGCTCATCATTTGCATTTCAGGAGAACTAATGTTTAACTCTGCAGAAGTAATGTTTTTGGAAATCACGTTTTCCGTTTTGGAGTCTCTATTCTGTATTTAAATACTATGAATTAAAATAAAAACAAGCCCACAGGAGGCCCCAGCGAGGATCGAACTCGCGACCCCTGGTTTACAAGACCAGTGCTCTAACCACTGAGCTATGGAGCCCACGTGTGAGCATACTTCCTAGAATTCTCAGATCTTACCAACAACACTGCTTTACCTGGCGATCTGTGAGAATTTGACCCCATGCATCTATTATCAATGGTAATTATAAAGACTGTGAAATGCCACAGAAAAATGCTTACAACAAGATGATAAGTGGAAAACACTGAAGCCTCAAATCGTATGTTTGTGATGACAATACACTAAATCATACCTAAATTATTCATACAGAGAAAGGCTGAGAGGGAAAGCGCAGAAATGAAATCGTGCTCTGGTCATACTCTCAGTGGTATGTTTACTCTTAATACATTTTTCAATCTTGCTTCCTTGATAAATTGTATCAAGTTTGATATTTTCAGGGAGGTGGGAAGTTATGGGGGTGTCTTTGTTCTCATAAACTAAGTTATTAATTTTGGACGAATTAATTGAGTCAACACATATTTATTTGAGTACTCAAATAATGCTAGATGAGGCAGAGTGAACAAGCAAATCTCTGCCTCTACATTTTTTTGAGATGG